GCTGTCCTGTAGCCTTTTAAAGCCCAGAGCTCTGTCCTCTGCTCATTCCAAAGAAGCTATGAAAAGGACCGTGGGACACATAGACATTGTAAAGTGATTTAGAACTCCATCACTGATGGCATTTAGCAGTTTATTGAATATAAGCCATCATTGCTGCTGTCCTTCAGTATAAGACTTTAATAACCTAGGTCAGTTCTCAAAGAGGCCAACATAAACTGTAAACAGTTTCTGGTGAGAAAACAATCTGCTCTGTGAACTTTAGATACAATTTCTCCTATGTGCATTTTGATAATAGTTGCTGAAAGGTAGAGAGAAGCTGGCTTCCATTCTATACAGTTCACCACCTTTCCTTTAAATCCTTACTCCCCAAACTTACCTCCACCCTCCCCAAAAAAACATTGCTTTACATTAAAATTCAAATTTCATTTTGAAATAGGTTTATAGAATAGAAAATAGACATTTTTTCACAGGTCAAAAATGGTCAGTTGTTGGTTTCATAGAGGTCTTAGGGTTCAATATAATACTTTCACTGAGTTCTAAATCTTTGTGTGTTTTAAGTGTGCTTATCTGGGAAGCCATGTTGGGCAAATTAACTGATGTTGCCTGGGTGACCTATGTAACTCATTTCCTAATCTGTTCTTTTCCTTAATCTTAGTACCTTCTTTAGTTGCATATGTAGACATTAGGCTTTGGAGAAGAAACCTAGAAAGAGGAGACATGAGAACATCTCGGGGAGCAGTATTTGAGCAAGTGGGGAACTTGGTTTTTGTGTTAGAGAACAAGGAGGCCATGCTGGGTGGGGCAGAGAAAGAGAGGGAATAAAGCAGGACATGAGGCCAGTTAGAAAATTCTGGGTGACTTGGGGAGCTTTGAGGTCATTTAAGAATGATACTGAGAGAGGGTTTGAGCATAAGAAACCCCAGACTAAGAGAAGAATACTGTTGGGAAGACCGAGGCATTAGTAGAGTAGATAGCCATGTACAAAGTAAATTCATGTTTCCCCAAAAATGTGGTGGACTAGGCAATTTTTAGTGGCTACTTCTTGAAGGCCATTGGAAGCAGCCTGCTTAACTTTAAGATGCAGCCTTTAACCTGATTTCAGCCGAGCAGCCAGAGGGATTCCATGATGATTCCCGTGCTCAGACCCTCTATCAGCATCATTTTTTTTTTTTTTTTTTTTACTTTTACTGCAGTGAAAACACATGGAACAAGACATTTACCAACTTAGCAACTTCCCCATTTACAGCTCAGAGACACTGATGACATTTTTCATGCTGTGCCACCATTATTGCTATCCATTTCCAAAATACTCTACCACCATTAGCATAAACTCAATGCTCCACAAACAAAAGCTTCCCATTCCCCTTTCCCCCTGCCCTCCTACCCCGATAACCAATAATAATCTTCAGTATATGCAGTGAGTTTGGTTTACATATATATAATAATTTTATATATATATATATATTTTT